AAAAAAAAAAAAAAAAAAACCTAAGGAACGTCTTACTATTGGGTATAACGGGAAAGAAAACCAGGATTGTTCTACCAACTTTTAAACGTGGACCTCAAGTTTCTTCGTCAGTAAGAGTGTCCCTCCCAACTGTAAAACTCTGTGGCTTTGCGATTCCACTCCCAGTTAGTCCTTCCGTGTGATTTTAAGAGGGAGCCCAAAGAGACCAAATGTGCTCATGGTCTGCATGTCACAGAGTTCGAGTCTAGCTTGAGAAAACAAGTTAACAAATCCTAACCAGGACACAGGCCACAGCGAAATAAACCCTCTCATCAACTAAAATGCTACTGGGACACACAGGTACGCAGCCCACTCCTGCATTAGTTCATCCAATCATGAATAATGAATTCACTGCGCACCACCAAAGGCCTGGGAAGCCAGGGAGCGGCCCCTCCGCGGCAGAGTGGGAGGACAGCAGGAGCAGCACGCCCCGGTTCAAGGCCATCTAGGTCCTCGGTCCGAAGCAAAGGTAATGCCAGACTCCACCACAATGACAACTATGCAGCAACCCGCGATTTTAAAGAAACAGGGAAGAGAGAGAAAAGAATGGCCAAGGCTCTAAAGCTGGATGTCCCGAGGAGAGCTGACACTACCTCGCCTCACCGTTAAGGCGTACGGCTCCCCGTGAAAATGTTAGGACGCTTTCAGAAACTCTAAGCAAAACTGTTCGTGATTCTTTTGGTTTGAATCTTGAGTTGCCACATTGTTTTTCTTCTTGAGACCAGACTCATAGGTCACAAGACGTTGGATAACTAACTGGAGTTTATACAACCAGGGGCCTAAATGCAGGTCTAGTTTGACAATGCAACAGAAGAGAGGGAAAGTCCTCACGTGTGAGAATTCTCTTCACGACAAATTCTGCCAGAAGGCCACAGTGAGAAATCTCTCCTACGCGGCCAGGCACAGCTGTGCTGTCGAGCACTTTCCACACTGATCTGTTCCGCCAAGTTCTAAGTTCACAGAAGGCAGGGGCCATGTCTCATGTCTCATATTCTAGCAAAATGTGTGCCCCCAGTGCCCGGATATCAGTGGAGATTTGCTGAGCTGTTGAATTTACAAGGGAAAAGGACTCACATATGATCACCCAATCACCTTATCTTACCGACAAACAGCAGAGATAATAAAATGCTCTAACCAAGCGAATAACCAGCTACATTTTTTAAAGATCTTGGCTTAATTTTTAAGAAACATTTTAAATGTACAGTACCCCAACTTCAGACAGTCCACAAACACACTGGTAAGCCAGACAGCACCTGTCCACACAGTGAAGACTTCTTACTAAGCCAAACCATTACCGTTATCAAAAGAACAAGCACCCATGATGCCTTTTACATGCTTTGATTTACCAAAACTACAAACATGTTCCCATTAAGAGAAAGCATTCAAAAAGAATCAGATCTTAATAATAACTACTGAGATATATAAACACAATCATGATTAGGACTAAATACCCTGAGGTTCCACATAAACAATCCTTTTCAAAATTACTCGCGTTTACATGTACATATGACCAATAACCAAGATTCTGATTTTGAAATTTTTTTCTCAAAAGCAAGCTTCCGCTGAATAAGAACATGACGAGAATAAGGCAACGCCGTTACCCCCAACTGTGCACGTCTCCACCGGGTCCTGCCCGGCAGCCCAAGTGACATGGCCTCTCAGTGGAATTTCAGTATCACGAAAGCCTTAAGATTCTACTGATGACTATCGCGTCCTTCCCACATAGATTTTCATTAAGCGTTAGTTTTAAAAACAAGTATCTCTTAAGGATGAATCACTGAGACAGATGAGCGAGCAATCTTTCACGAGTACCTTTTCTTTCTTGACAGTTCAACTTTTTAAAAAGCTACTTATCAAAATCATCTTCCTGAAATAGAAATCAGCACAATCTTTGCTTCCTGATTACAGATAACAAATTACGTGTGACATTTCCAAAACTAACCTCCAATCTCTTTATTCATGTTTAGACAGTTCTCAGTTACAAAAAAGGATGAATGAACAGGACATCAATCACTCTGGAATATTAGCACCTTAAAGATGTCTTTAGCAGGTCAATAATCTTTTCACCTTGGAAGGACTTTATCAGATCTTGTCTAAAGCCTGGATAAAAGCTCTGCATTAAGTACTTCCAACAATTGACAGTGTATCTCCACCACACAAAGCTGTTTTCTTCCTTAAGGTGCAATCCTCAAGGTCACGATTCTGTGCAGCCTTCCAGAATGACAAAGGGGCATTACCTCCAGCCAAACAAGCTGTCAACACAAACTTTGTCATAGCTCAGATAAAGAAACTGGCAGACAGTGATAATAAGGTCTAATTTCCCTCCCTCCCGAGGGAGGGAAATAGATTTCAAATCAGTCTAGAAACCCATGCCTAGGCAGCCAGGTCATCTTCGGCCACACAAAGGAAAAAGACTCACTGTGAATTCATCTAAGGGCTCATTGATCTCGATGTCTAACACTTCGTCACTGTACAGCTGCCCCTCCTCCGGCTCCTCCACATATTCCATGTGGCCTTCCGTCAGCTCAGCGCCATGGCCTTCGTAGCGTCCTTCCTCTGGGTACTCGTGAGCGTACAGTTCAGATCCCCCGGATTTGTGATAAACAAGTTCGTCCTCTCCTTGTTCATACTCAGACTCCTGTTCTCCGGACTGGTCATTAGTGTTGTCAGACAGTTCAAATGACGTGACCATGCCAGATGTGGTGTTTAGACTAATTGTGACACCCTGAGAACTAAAGAGAACAAAAACAGAAAGAAAGGTGCCCAATCAGAGTAAAGCTCAAAATTAAGTTGCTCCATAAACGAACTGTTACAAAGACTTCGAGCACGACTGGCGAAAAGTTGTCCCGGTGACGGGCAGATGCACATTCCTCCAATCACGACTGGAAACAGAGCTCAGTGCGCCATACTGAGCCTGTGCCACGATCCCCTAACGCATACGGCATCCGCACTATCATCAGACGCACGTTTTTTGCCCAAAAGAATCAGATCAAGCAGATGGGGACACGAGTCTGGCTGGCAAAACTCTAGCACTGAAAACAAACAGACGACATTTTATTCTAACTTCCAGGGTAAAAAGGATGCTCACTGTTTTCCAGGATTCCAAAGTAAAAGTGGCAGTATTACTCTAGAAACAGAAAAATCACACACACACATACACACACACACACACACACACACACACACACACACACACACACATACACACACACAAAACAAGGAGAAGGAAATAAACCACAAGAGACTTACCGATAGAGAACAAACTGAGGGTTTGAGGGAGGGCTGGGGGGGAGATGGGCTAGATCGGTGACAGGTACTCAGGGAGGGAATTGTGCTGAGCACTGGATGTCATATGGAAGTGATGAATTACTGAATTCTACTCCTGAAGCCAATACCCCACTGTATGCTAACTAAAATTTTAAAAAATAAAAATTTTAAAATAAAAGGTACACAAGGTGGGGAGAAAGAAAGAAAGAAAGAAAGAAAGAAAGAAAGAAAGAAAGAAAGAAAGAAAGAATCACAGATGGAATTTTAAGAACAATTTTCTTTTTCTGACAGGTAAATTATAAATTATTTAAAAAATTAAAATATTAAAAATGTGTGTGAAAATACATGTCAATGTTCAATAAATAAAATCTGTACTAGTCACAATTAAAAAAACAATCAGTTTGTAATATTGGGAAAATAACAAAGAGGGTTTTTAAACTGCAAAAAAAAAAAAAATCTGGGTGGCGGGATAGCTCGGTCAGTTAAGCGATAAAGCACCAGGTCACATCGGACTCCGTTCTGAGCGTGGAGCCTGCTTGCGATTCTCTCTCCCCACTCTCCCTCTGCCCCTCCCTCACTTGCACACGCTCTCTCTCAAAAAAATAAAACTGCAAACAAATGACACTCAACGTCTTAAATCACAGTACGCCAAACAGTAAGCGCCAAAACACTTAGGGGGCAAGATCTGCGGATAAAGCCGAGTGTATACACGTTGATGATGTCACACAACAGACCTGGGAAACTTAAGTGGTGGAATAAACTAACTGAAAACTGCACTGCTATCCAAAAACAACCGCTTCATGTTAGAAAACCAGTTACAGATCTGTAGTTCGATAATCAGCGGCATGTATCTGTTAACGACGTTCATGACAGAGAGATCTCCCGAAGCTTTCCCAATATAGGTCTTCTCATAAAACTGAAAACCCTGCTCCGCCACCAGAGAATACTACACGCCGCTTCCCACTCTTCTAACAGAGCTTAACTGCGTCAACAACAGAGAGACGCCCATGCTTGCTGGGGCTGGATATTCACGTCCCCCCAAAACTCATCTGCTGAATCCTCACCCCCCAGTGTGATGGTGCCTGGAGGTGGGGCCTTGGGGAGGAGATCAGGTCAGAAGGATGGAGCCCCCCCTCCCCCGACAGGGGTGAGTGCTGTTACAGAGGGGACCCCAAGAGCTCCCTCACCTTCCGCCAAGCGAGGACACAGAGAGAAGATGCCATCTGGGAACCAGAAACTAGAAACTGACCGTGCTGGTACCTTAACCTTGGAGTTCCCAGCCCCCAGAACCGCGAGAAAGAAATTTCTGTTGTTTATCAACTACCGAGTTCATAGTATTTTGTTAATGTAGTCAAACCGACTAAAGTAACTATACTCACTAGAACAATTACACTCACATAGTCAAATTACAGTCTGAAGTACAGTCCAAAGGAATTTTCAAAATGGCAATTCTTAGTCAACAGATCACATATAAGTAAAAATGGTCTAACAAAGAAACAAAAGCAGCAACATCAAACCGCAAGCGACAATACCGAGTGTGTGAGGCCTCTGCCCCGTCCAATAAAGGAACTCAGTACACACCTTTCCCGAGCTCTCATAATCTGCGCTCAACAAAATTACACAGGTCATCAAATACAAGACCAAAAACCTACTTACAGAAATATACGGCTTCCACATAAATGTTGTATTAATATCCCGTGTAAAATAAAATTGTGTTCAATGATATAGTATCACACTGTCAATCATATCCCATTATAATTATAAATTACAGTTACTAGCAATTTAGTTCCAGAAAAATTTTAATGAGCTAATATGGAATACCTGAAATTTTCTTCATCTTCATTATCACTCTGTAAAAGATCATCATTCAGCTCTTCATCTGACAAATCCGACTGATTCTAATCAAAACAAAAAATCTAATTAATGCATGCCACTTCCATAAAAAGACTGGTTACAAATGTGCAAAATTACATTGGCTGGATTATTTCTCACCCTGTTATTAGAACACGTGCCATTCAGTAAGTTACCTCATTCGGATAGAACCAGTGGAGAAACTCCACACATGGGACACCCGCCTCCCCAGACACATTTCAAGTGCAGAGTCAGGTGAGTGCAGAAACAACAAGGCTGGGCCGCCTGGCAGGGCTCGGTCAGTTAAGCATCCGGCTCGGGCCCAGGTCACGATCTCTCGCTCCGTGAGTTCGAGCCCCGTATCAGGCTCTCTGCTGTCATCACAGAGCCTGCTTCGGGTCCTCTCTCCCACCCCGCCCCTTTCTCTCTCTCAAAAATAATGAAATTTTTGTTTTAAGAAACAACAAGCCTAATGATCACATTTATTCTAAATCTAACCAAAAAAGGAAAAGTGGAGACTCTTTTGGTAGTATCCTATGAATATTTTTCCCTGTATCCGTAATACTGGACTAAATTCGACTTCACTCATATGTGGAATTTAAGAAACAAAACAAACAGGGGCGCCTGGGTGGCACAGTCGGTTAAGCGTCTGACTCTTGATCGCAGCTCTGGTCATGATCTCAAGTTTCGTGAGTTCGAGCCCCGCATCAGGCTCTGCGTTGATGGTGTGGAGCCTACTTGGAATTCTGTCTCTCCTTCTCTCTACACTACCCCTCTCACTCTCAAAATAAAAACTTTTTAAAAACTTAAAAAAGAAAGAAAGAAAAAGAAAAACACACCAAACAAAGGGAAACAATAAGAGAGACAAGAAACAGACCCTTAACTACAGTGAACACAGTGATGGTTGGGGGTGGGGGGCTGGGGGAACAGGTGGTGGGGACTAAGCAGTGCACTTTGAGAAGCACCAGCGGACGCGTGGAAGCGCGAAATCAGCATACAGTACACGGGAACCTGACACAACGCTGTGTATTAACTAACGGAAGTTAAAATAAAAACTTAAAAGAAGCCTTGACTAAATCTAACACTGTTAGTATCCAAAATCTGAAGGTTTTTGTTTAAACAAAAACAAGGTGGAATTTCAGAAATAAGCAGATTTTAGAGAACTGGATCACCGAATTGAAATGGTAAGGAAATAAAACTGGTCCGTCCAATAGAGGTGACACGTGAAAACAGACATGCCTGGCTCAGGTCCCGCCCCTGCTCCTGACAGGCCTGCGCACTCACCACACCCACAGGTAGAGGCTCAACTTTGCACACTCCAGGTTTTACCTTAAATACACACCAGTATCTTACACTTCGGCGGGAAGGGGGAGGAAGTGTCCCTTCACACTTTCCTTCCCTATTCAAATTACTTTCATGGTATATACAAATTACCACCCCCTCCAAAAGAAGCCCCTCCAACACACACGTTATGAAAAAAGGTAAAAACAGAAAAAAAAAAAAAAGATTTGATTTTCTAAAGATGAAACAGTCTTTTCCTAACATTTCACAGCTTGTAAAACTAGCTTTCTCAAACTTGTCTGTACACTCTCGTTCTAATATTTTTGACATAAGCCAAGAAAATATGAACCTTATAGTTCTTACGGGTCTCAAGGAACTCTACTTAATGGCTGACATTCTAACAAGGTAAAAATGAACTAACACAGGCCATGCAGTTTACTTGAAGAAGGGAGGGGTGGATCTGTATGAAAAAGAAACAGACTGTTTAACAGCCAAAATCAAGTTCTGCTTAGTCGCCCACAGAATCTGTCCTCCACTAAAGAAGATGAGCCAGGCCTGCCTAAATGTGGCCGCCCAATTTATTAAATAAAGCCACAGAAAGTCTTTAAAAATTAACATTTCAATGAAAGCCAAATGACATTCTGTAAGAGGCTGCTTCCTTGAGTTTCTTTAAAATTTTAAGTACTTGTCAAAACTCAGTGAACCAATAAATAATTCACCAAACAAACAAACAAAAAGGAATATATGCTGTGCCGGCCCTGACGGTAACCAGATCTTACCTGTGGACTCTGAATGTGGTAAGTACCGTGCACGGGAGGCAAGGACCAAATACCCACTTTGCTGACAGAGCAGAAGTGGAGACCTAGATTCCATCTCTGAGGCAAAAACTGCTTTTCAACTACATCCCAAAGAACTGGGACAAACCGCTCCGTCAGACAAGGGTGGAGTGACTAGAGGACTCCGCTCTGGGCGATCCGCGGGCGGGGGGAAGGGGGCAGCCCCCCTCCCCACCCCCAGGCCCAGAAAGTGAGAGAAAGCGGCTGGGAATGCTCCTGAAATCCGTGTGACCAGCAGGCCCCTCCTCTCCTGGGGGGAGACAACCATGAAAGAAACAACGTGCTCCAGCACTCCCCAGAAGGTAGAAGGTCTGAACCGGCGGACCAGACACGACCTGTCTGGCACCCGCTGCCGAGGTGCGACAGAAACTGAAGAAGGCATCGCAGGCTGGCAGGCGACTGGCACCCAGACTTCCCCAACTTCTTACAGCTCTAGTCGGGTCACGCCAGCTTGCTTCATCCTGGAGCTGGCCGACCTTTCGTTTTTATCCTGTATTTGAAACTTGACTCTAACCTCCCTTCTGGACACCAATGAACTCGTCCTCGGCCGCCCCTGTCGGTCTGACACGGTCACCATACTCTGTGCAGCCCTCCGGCCCACCAGCCCAGGAGCCTCTCCCCGGACAAAGCTACATCCCCCTACATTTCGTGGGGACTTGGGGGCGGGGGCATGGGGGAGAGAGACGGTGGCAGGTGGCCAGCGTACCTCTAACAATAAATTCCTGATTACACACCCAACAAGATATTCCTTCTCACTAGACACCAAATAAATACAAAGTAAACTAACCAGAAATCACTTCTCATCTACCTCACTGACAAAGAGTTTAAAGGAGAAGTGATCGCAGAGCCAGGGGACGGAAAAGCGAAAGGCGTGCCCGTGCACCTGCTGCCCAGCTGAGAAAACAGCGCCGGAAAGCAACTGGGGGACACGAGACAGGAGGCCGAACCGCGCACACCGTCGGGCCAGAAATTCTCCCGGACGGAACCGTGCAAAGAAAAGAATTCCAAAAGCACAGTACGTGTACATTAAACTATCATCACAGGGGCGCCTGGGTGGCTCCGTCCGTCAGGCATCCAACTCTCGCTCTCAGCTCAGGTCACGATCCCACAGGCCCCTTGCCGGGCTTGGCACTGAGAGCGCAGGCCCTTGCTTGGGTTCCTCTCTCTCTCTCTCAAAATAAATACACTTTTATACATACATATGTATATATATACATATGTATATATATATATATATGTATGTATAAAAGCATGTATGTATATATATCTATATATAGATATAGATATATATATATGTATATCTATCTCACAATAATGTCTGAGATTTACTTCAAAATAATTCAGGAAGGGGAGTGGGCAACGATAAAGCAAAACCGCCTTTACCTGAAAACCTCAGAATCAGGGCGACAAATGCAGGCGGGAGACCGCACTCTGCCCTCCTTCTGTTACGTGCCCTTCCAAGCGCTCATAAAAAGTCAGTGTTCTTTTCGAAGTCCTAGCAATGAGCTGGAAATGCCCTCAGTGAATGTAGGAATGGCTATGTATACTACAGTGTGCACAAACAAAACCATTATGGAGCCATCACAAAACAAGAAACGTTTAAGTACAAGGGGGATATGCCAACAATACAATGGTAAATTAAAAAGCAGGGCTCTTCATATATATAACTTTTAAATTCTACTTTAAAACACACGGAAAAACAATATAAGAAATATGGCAAAATGTCAGTCATGGGGACTTAGAGATCTATTTCTTTCATTATTTCTTTTTGAAAATTTGAGCTCTTTGATTCCTACAAGGTACACCGCTAGGAAAGAAGAGAGGAGAAAAAGAGAGAGGAGTACATACACTGCCCTAAATTAAACTTCCAAACTCGCCAAGGTGGATAAGGGCCTGCTGCTGAGACAGAAGGCATCCCGCTGCCGCCCTCACGCATTCCTGTTCCATCAGAAAGGAGACCAAAGCGGGGACGCCTGGGTGGCTCGGTGAGTGAAGCGTCTGACTTCAGCTCGGGTCATGATCTCACGGTTCGTGGGTTCAAGCCCCGCGTCAGGCTCTGTGCTAACAGCTCAGAGCCTGGAGCCTGCTTCACATTCTGTCTCCCTCCCTCTCTCTGTCCCTCCCTTGTTCACACTCTCTCTCAAATATAAACAAATATTAAAATTAAAAAATTAAAAAAAAAAAAAAAAAAGGAGACCAAGGGGCACCTGGGTGGCTCAGTCGGTTAAGCATCCGACTTTGGCTCAGGTCATGATCTCACAGTTTGGGAATTCGAGCCCCACACTGGGCTCGGGTGGAGCCCATTTCCAATCTTCTGTCTCCCTCTCTCTCTGCCCCTCCCTTGCGCATGCACTCAATCTCCGTCTCTCGAAAATAAACATCAAAAAAAAAAGAAAAGAAAAAAAAGACACTGAGTCACACGAATCAACTAATGCAATAAAGTGAGACTACATCCCCAGAATAGTCAGCATTACCATCCAAACCAAATAGTGCTTTTCCACCTTTACTGATACGCGACCAGACCAAACGTCTCATGAGATGGGGACAAACGGACACCAAAGAGTCTTTAGGGCTGGTGGGCCATCCTGATAGGAACACGGGGCGAACAATGATGCCCAGGCTAGCCCAAGGACAGAGATCCGGTTTCACGTAAAAAATACTTTACTGTGTTCAAATATTTTCACATCCAATTGGTGTCGTTCACTAAAGTATCTTTAGTAATTACAAAGGGAAAAAAAGGTGTTTACGTTAGGGTAGTGAACTCCCACGTACAGTAAGAGCACTTCGAAGTTGTGCGAATTCGCTGAGTCAGAAAGAAAACAGTAGCACTTTCCCTCTGTGACCATGACCCAGGAAGGGCGGGCTTCCAAGTCACACCCTGAGGCCAGAGCCTGAGACCCTCAAACACGGACGGGCCGAGGGGCAATCTCACTGGTTTTTCACTTCCAGTATTTCGATGTTTCCCCACTTACTTACAGGGGATCGTGTGCATTTAGAGGTAACTAAATTAATTCTTACTTAAAGTTACAGGTGATGAGAGCCGCTTAAAGGAGGAAAGTTGAGGTAGACTGAAGCCAGGCCACTTGTAGGCCAACGATGCAGCAGGAAACAGGAGGAAGGAAAGTGGCCTCAAAGAATCCTACAACTAATTCATGTATTAGCAAAAAAGCTAATCATGCAACATCGTTACAAGAAAATGGCAGCACTGGTGTTTTCTTCTAGAACAAGACCTTCATCAACTGAATCATAAATAAGTATAAAAAGAAACTATAATCAGATCTGATATAGTAAATCATGTGACTTTATCACCTAAAAGTATAATGAGCTTACATGTAAGAACTGTGGACAGTAAGAAACCACCACAATCTTAAAACTTTAAAAAACTAAGCACAGGGCGCCTGGATGGCTCAATTAAGCTTCTGACTTTGACCTGGGTCATGATGAGTTCAAGCCCCTTATCAGGGCTCCGCGTAGTCAGTGCGGAGCCTGCTTGGGATTCTTTCCTCAATCTCTGCCCCTCCCCCACTTGCGCTCGCTCTCAAAATAAACAAACTTAAAAAAAAAAAAACAGCATAAAAAACTACCTTGATATTTATTTAGTAAGAACATCAAGTGTTTTTAAACTGTTAATAAGTTCTCAAAAATGTAGCGCCTCTGGGGTGCCTGGGTGGCTCAGTTAAGCGTCTGACTTCAGCTCAGGTCATGATCTCACGGTTTGTGGGTTCATGCCCCGCACTGGGCTCTGTGCTGACAGCTCGGAGCCTGGAACCTACTTTGGAGTCTGTGTCTCCTCT